TGCGTGGCCGAGCCAGCAACCCGCAATGCTCGCCCACACGGACGCAGACCACAAGTACAGTAGTGACTTCCTCTACCGGCCTTCTGTTTCTCCCTTTGCCGCCAATAGAGAGGCACGAATCTTGGTCGAAGTAGATTTTTCAGCGAGAAAGTGCCTTTCTCTATCGCAAAGCGGTAGTGGTGGTGGTGCTGGGGCCGTGGTCGCCTTCAGCAGGATTTCGTTTACTGCTCGGTGTTTTTGCGGCGATTCGTCACACGCTGCCCCTCCCCCCGCGCCGCCCCGTCGTCTGCTATGCCGCGGCACGCTCGCCAACCGGAGCACTATCTGGCCCGTCGCGCCAACGCTCCCTCCGACTTCCCGCGCACCTCATTGCACCCACACCGTTTCTCCCGAGGAACTAAATAGTGGATGATGTAGTGTTGTGCGTCAATTTGTGGGCAGCGGGCTCATCCTCATTTGTTTTCTGTTACAGATCCTCGCGAATGGTCCGAGAAGCACGTCAACTTCTGGCTGCGCTGGGCCATGAGCGAGTTCTCCCTGGAGGGGGTGCCGCTTCAACAATTCGGCAAGGGGCGGGACATCTGCCAGATGGGAAAAGAGAGTTTCCTACAACGCACCCCGCCCTTTGTCGGAGATATATTATGGGAACACCTTGAAATCCTACAAAAGGGTAAGCTGCAGAGCAAACCTGCTATAGGTGGTTGCTTCTTTTTTGCGTGCTTCGTTTTATTGTTTTTCTTCTAGTTGCGGCCTTTCTGTCATAAAGCCACATATACTGTACCGTGTTTCGTCTCGGTGACGTTCGGCGCGGTGGCATTCAGGTCACCTGTTCCGAACGGGTCGGTTATCGGCAGAATGGCTCGCCCTCGCGGCCGCGGAATGGGCCAACGCGAACACTAGATCTGGGGCAGAGCGCGACCACCTCGGGTCGGGTTGGGCCGCGCAGGGGGGCTAGGGCAAGCGCGGCGGGACGGGGTGAACGTAGCTCCTGGGCGGGCCCTGCCCCGCCGCGCGCGGACTTTGTTCGCCGCGCTCGGGGAGGTGGCCCGCGAGGTGCCCGCGAGGTGGCCGTCGAGCCGCCGCCCCCGCTGCCACCATGCATAATGAAGCGCAAGCCATACGGCGGGCCGGGCTGAGCCGAAGCCTCTGAATATGGATCAGCTGGGCCGCCCGGCCCACGGGGGCATGCCGACGGGGGGCTCTGCTCGCGCTCGTGCTCACGCTGGTGCTGGTGATCGCCCTGGTGCTGGTGCTGGTGCTCGCCCTGGTGCTGTAGGTGGCGCTCGTGTTCGCCCTGGCACTCGTGCTGGTGATCGCCCTGGTGCTGTAGGTGGCGCTCGTGCTCGCGCTGGTACTCTTGCTGGTGCTGGTGCTCGCCCTGGTACTGGTGCTCGCCCGGGTGCTGTAGGCGGCGCTCGTGCTCGCGACCTGCTGGGGGCCCTCCTCGGCCCGGTCGCTCCCTGGTCTGGTCGCGTACACGCCGCGCAGAGGCCCCTGACCCGGAGGATGGTGAGGTGGCCAGCCGAGGCTCAGGCCCGCCCAGACTGTTTTCCCACGCCGGGGCCGGGCGGGGCGGCGACGCGGGAGGCTGTGAGTGTGGAGCGGCCGCCGCGCCGGCGCGGACCCTGACATTGCACCCGTCAGATCATCACCGTGCGAACCGCTGGCCCTGACCCGGGCGGCACCGGCCCTGAGCGGGCTCGCGCGCCTAACCTATCTGCCTGTCTTATGAACTGTACGCTTACCTTCTCGCGCTCGTTGATAAGACATGCAAAAAAATAGGGTATTCCGCTGCGAGCGAACCGGAACCTAAAGAAGAAAAGCATGACTGCTCGATCTTCTTCCCTCTGCGCGCTCATTGGCTGACCGGCATATCAAGGTCATCGTCGACCAATCAACGTTCAGGAGGAAACAGATCAGGCAGTCATGCTTTTCTTCTTTAGGTTCCGGTTCGCTTGCAGAGGAATACCCTATTAAGAATCATCAACAAGTTACAAAATTGTTTTAATGATGCAATGTAATATTTTTCGTTTCAGATGTGGAGAAGGAGCGCGCCTGCGGGGAGGTGGGCGCCGGCCTCATCGAGTCCGTGCCGGACTTGACTGATCTCCTGGCCGGGCACCACCACAATAATAACAATAGCCCTGCGCCGCCCGGGCCGCCCTCCGTGGCCGGCAGCCACCCGGGCACGCCCGCGCCCCCGCAGCACCACTACATGGAGGGTGAGTAGATCGGTATATAGTGTTTTTCGTTCGCGAAGCGATTGCTGCGCGATCCGCTCTAAAACGCCGCGCTCCGCCCCGCCACGCCCCGCCACGCTCCGTTATGTCAGTGTTACGTGGTGCAGGAGCGTGCGTCTTGCATGACGGGTAGTGCTCGGGGTATGGCGGGGCGGGGCGGCGAGCGCTTCAAGGAGCATCGCGATGACGCAAGGCCGGCCCCGTTCCACCCCCTGAGTGCAAGGCTGCCCGCGCGCAGGCCGCACGCCTCGCCCCGCCCCGCGTCGCGCACTGTATACGCGCCACAATGGTGCCCAAGATAGACACGTAACGCAGGCTGGAATGATGGCTCCTGGATCGCAACTCTGCGCTAGTTGGTCCAGAATCTAAAACTGATTACAAACAGTCACCTCGTAGTAACGACGATCAAATGTAGACCCTTTTTTAGGTGTTTTGCCTTTCTCCAGCCATTTGTTTGCCCCTTTCTCCAACATGTTTTCAGTTTACCTCCATTTTTAATATTTTTCATTCCTTTCTGAAAGTAAATATAATTTACTGAGATTGTTGTTTACCCTTAAGGTAGAGAACTCGATTTCCACCATTATGGGCCAGTCCTTATCCGCGTATCACATTCTGGGGGCAGAATCATCTACTGAGTATATTTATCTTGTTCGGAGTATTGTTAATGTTTGCTACGTCTCCAGTTCAGCCTCTAAGTCTCCCCACACGGCGACAAGGGGGACGAGCTCAAGCAGCCCCTCCCTCGCCCCCTCCCCCGGAGTAGCTGCACCGGAGCAGTAGGGTAGTAGAGCCGGAAGAAGGCTGCTGGTGTTGTGGCGTACCGCCTCGCAGCCTCGAGGGGGAGAGTGGCGGGGCGGTGACGCAGGAGAGGGAAAGCCCCGCCAGCGTGCTCCACTCTGCCCGCTTGGCTTCTCATCATGTAACGCACCCCCTCCCGGCCCAGCGCGGCCCGGCGCCGAGCCTCACGCTATCGGCACATCGCGTGGCGGGGCGCGGCGCGGCCAGGCGCGGCCCGCGGCTGCGGCGCTGCGCGGTGCACATGTTGCGGTGCGCTCCAATGTAGTGGTGAGCCCCCTGGCGGCAGGTTCAGGCTCCTCTCCCGACCGTCCGCGCCGAGCGCCCGCCCCCCGCGCGTCCGCCCTCGCGCGCGTCCGCCCCCGCGAGTGCAGTGCAACAAGTGCCCTGGAGTCAAGCAGCAGTGGCCAGTGCGAGTGATCAGTGTCAGTGCCTGTGCCGCCCCCATGTCCGCCCCCGCCCCCGGCGGTGGAGGCTGACGCCGCCCCCGTGTTCGCCGCCCACCCTCGTCCGCGGCCGCCGCCCGCCGTTCTCTGCCTGCTGCAAGACGCATGCTGCATCCCCAAATGTTCGTCGCCGTGGCGCAGATGGAGCAGATGGCCATGCTGTGGAGAGGTACGCGAGCGTGTCTCATCAGCCAGCGATCGGCGCTCTGCGCTGTTGTTTCTGTCCCTGGCGTGGTCCCCACCCAAAGCCCAGGGGCCCGCGGGCCCGGGGCTCGTACAACACAGGTGTGGCCGGGCCGGGCCGGGCCTGGCGACGCCCTCTGTCCGCCCTCACTGCGCACAACAAGCGATTGGAACAGAGGGTGCATGTGCACGTGGATGTCGCCGTGCGTACTTACGCAGGTAGTTCACCACCACACGTCTGCTGAAGTGCTCCTCAGTTTTTTCACGACGGGCCTCGGGGGTGATGGGTTTCTCTGTACGCCCTGGTGGTGCTGTTCGACCTGTTGAGGCCTAGAGGAGGGGGCCGCGGCGGCCCCGGCTGGCCTGGGCTGGCCACGCCCCCAGCGCGGCTCCACCGCGACCGGTGAAAGGCGCCAACCAATCGCTGCAGGGCCCCTCGGAGGCGAGGGGAGCCCCGCCGCGCCCCCGCCCTGGACAGGCGCTGGACAGCCTGGACAGGCCGGCCGCCTGCCACGGGCCGCGCTGCCCATTGTGACTCATTGTTACCGTCACGGCGAGCGCCCCGGCCAACAATGCGCGATTAATAGACCCCCCTTCGCTCTTCTTTTTTTTTGCCGACCCCCTTCCCTACCCTACGCCCGCCCCCGCACCACTGCCCGCGTCGGACGGGTTCAATTGTTTGCATTGGAACGAAATAGATTCATTTTACCAAGTGGTTTGTAATGACGGGCTACCCGACCTGTCTCTTATCGACCAGAGCATCGAGCCGTGAGCCGTGCGGACACGGCAAAGTGTGCGC